TTAATTCCGGCTTGGGATTCCTCCAGTTCAGCCTTCCGCATAATGTATTCTGCATATAAGATAAATAAGCAGGGGGACAATATGCAGCCTTGTCGTACTTCTTTCCCAATTTTGAACCAATCAGTGTTTCCGTATCCAGTTCTAACTGTTGCTTCCTGTCCCACATATAGGTTTCTCAGGAGATAGATAAGGTGGTGAGTCACTCCCATTTCTTTAAGGACTTGCCATAGTTTGTTGTGGTCGACAGAGTCAAAGGCTTTTGCATAGTCAATGAAGCAGAAGTAGATGTTTTTCTGGAACTCTCTGGCTTTCTCCATAATCCAGCGCATGATCACAGTACCGGCATCTCTACACACGGTGCTTACCTTTCTGCTCCATCTCTTCAACCTGGGACTGGCTCATTCCATACTTAAAGTTTACATCTCAGCAACCGTGGCTCACCAACCTCCTCGATTGTGCTCCGCCAGGCTCTTCTCCGACCCTACTCTTAAAAGATTCCTGAAGGGCCTACAAAACATACGGCCCCCTTCACAGCACATTGTACCACAATGGTCTCTACCACTCGTCTTGGAAGCTCTCACCAAGCCTCCATTCGAACCTGTGGCTACCTGTTCAGAGAAACTGCTTTCGCTGAAGACCGCATTTCTTGTAGCCATTACGTTGGCCAGAAGAGCGAGTGAGCTGGCTGCACTCAGGTCAGATCCTCCTTACCTCCAAATGTACCCTGACAAAGTCATCCTTTACCTTGACATTTCCTTCTTACCGAAGGTGGTATCGGATTTTCACGTCAACCAGCCCATTGTGCTCCCAACGCTGTTTCCTTCTCCATCCACGCCATTAGAGCGCAAACTCCACACCCTCGATGTCATAAGAGCTCTTGCCTTCTACCTTCACCATACCAAGCACACTAGGTGCTCCCTGTGTCTCCTCCTATGTTATCATGGACCACACAAAGGCGCTCCTGCTTCTTCACAATCAATATCCAGGTCGATTGTTCAGTTCATACAGTTGCTTACCAGCTCACTAATAAGCCTGTACTGGACGGTCTGAAGGCCCACTCTACCAGAGCAGTCTCTACGTCGACAGCTCTATTCAAGGGTGTTCAGCTACAGAACATTTGCAAGGCAGCTACTTGGGCCAACCCTTTGACGTTCCCCAGACACTACCGCCTAGACGTTAGAACCAAAAATGATGCGGTGTTTGGACGGGTGATACTATCATCTCTGATATCGTGACGGCCCTCCTTCCGGTGAGTACAGCTTGCCATTCACCCATTTGTGTGCATTCACAGAGACCACTATGAAGAAAGTTAGGTTACCTACCTGTAACTTTGGTTCTTCTAGTGGTACTCTGTGAATTCACACATCCCTCCCTTCCTCCCCTCTATCCGTCACAATATCATGTTGTGATACCTTGCTATCTTTTTATATACAGTGACGATGGATTTAGGGAACTGAAAGGAGAGGGACGAAGCAGAGCCTATATACCCTCTGGGGGGGAGCTAATTGGCTCTTTTTTCTATAGCTCTAGAATCCTCTGGACGTCCTGTGCAGGCGCAGGATTAACCCATTTGTGTGTATTCATAGAGTACCACAAGTTACAGGTAGGTAACCTAACTTTTTGACTGTGCATTTACAAAATTTGTTTTATGTACTGAGGGTAAATGTTGCATTTCTTTTAAAAAATCATCACCATTAAGGTCAGCAGGACATTGCTCTGATAAAGATAAAGCTTTTTTTTACTCATAACTTTCAGACATGGTGAGGTGTCCACAAGAAACAAATTTTTTCTGCCAGCTACCTAACGGCGTTGAAGCGGACAGTTAATCCTGCTATAATATTGTTTGGCCATCACATTTTGGACCTGCTGAAGTTTCTGTATTGTTTCCAAGGGCAGCCCTATGTAGTCCGTATTGGAAGACTGATTATAGTAGTTAATTTTTGAGATTACCAATGTGTGAACCAGTTACTAGGAATTTCTAAGGCATTGTCCTGCTTCTTACACAAACTAGAGATTGACAAACAGACCTCCCCATCTTCCTTCATTGGAAGCCCCTGCTGGATCTCAGTTCTTTCTGGAACTGGAAAGAAGCCTTTCTTTTGTGAATGGGCTACTCTGGTGCATGTGTTATGTGCTGTCAAGTCAGAACAGACTTATAGCATCCCTAGTAGGTCTTTCAAGGTAAGTGAGATATTTAAGGAGTGTTTTTACCACACACAGCCAGTGAGTTTCCATGGTTGAGCAAATATTTGAACCCGGGCTTCCTGAGTCTGTCACTCTATCCATTATATGAGACTAGGTGGACAGCTCTAGACCCAACCCTAAATCTACTAACCTTTTAATTTCTGACAGTTTGCTAATGAGATGTATGCAGATTGTACGTATTATACTGGCATAACTAACGGCTTTTATGGTTTAAAATCATGGGACATAATTAGCTCTTGATAATTGGAAACAATGTGAGTTTTCTGTACAACCCTCATTTTATGAAAAATTAAATTAAAAATACCTGAGCTTAATTTAGTAGTATTTGCAGTGGAGTGTATAGATTTTTGCCATTGGAAAATACAGTGTTGCCTCACATTACAATGTTAATTCGTTCCAGCAAAATCGCTGTAGGACGAAAATGTTGTAAAGTGAAATTAAAAAGCCCATAGAAATGCATTAAAACCCATTTAATGCATTCCGATGGGCTGGAAACTCACCATCCAGCGAAGATCTTCCATAGGGTGGCCATTTTCAATGCCTGTGCAGCTAGGAATCCGTCCCAGAAAACAGCCGGGGCCATTTTGTTTACCCGGCGGCCATTTTGAAACCGCCGATCAGCTGTCGGAAAATCATCGTTTTGCGAGGAATCGGTTCCCGAAGCAGGGAATCGATCATCGCAAAGCGAAATTCCCCCATAGGAAACATCGTAAAGTGATCGCAAAAAGTTTGTCGTAATGCGGCTTCATCGTTAAACGGAGCGATCATAAAGCGAGGCACTCACTGTAATGTTAATGGTATAGAAGCAATTCCTGAAATATAAATTGCCATTTAATGCATTTCTTAGCATCATGTCATTGTGCTTTGCAGGTGATCCTGGACCCCAAGGTCCACCAGGCCTTCCTGGAGAAAGAGGTGAGCCAGGTTATGATGGAATCCCAGGATCACCTGGTGCAAAGGGTGACCCAGGTAAGAGTTTTACTGTCTGTTCTTCTCCATGGCCTCTGTGAATCACACTCTGGGTGATCCGCATCTGTGCGGAGACTCAAGAGTATTCTAGTGCTTCTGCAGTAGCAAAAAAACACACATTAGAATAGATCCCTCCATATAAGTACCTTGGCGCCAAGTACTTCAGTTTCTTTCAACTGCCGCATTAAAGAGCCTTGTACTTCTAGCTTCTGTGAGTTAAAAGTGAGAGTTTTTTACTCTTGATTTCTAAATATTTTTTCTTCTATTAATTAAAAATATATCATAATATGAACTGTTCTTTAGTCTTTTTTTTTGCATGCCTCAGCCTCCGGCTGTCGCACCCCCCTCAGTTTTTTCCTTTCCTTTTCTTTAATCGTTCATGGCCCCTTTAGGTCCGTTTAAGCACTGCGTGGTTTGCGATAATAAAATACCACTGTTGGATGGCCACACAAAGTGCCTTTTTTGTCTAGGTGGGGCACTCCTCGTGTGCTCATTGTAAAAGTTCCAAGCGAGGAGTCCTCCATTCTCACCTTTCCAGACTTAAACTCCATCTTTGGGAGCACTCTTTACAACCTGTAAAACCGGCTCTGCCCCCATGTAAGGCTACTTCACAAGCTAAAGCCATGGAAGAAGCCATCACAGAATCATCTAAAAAGCACCCTTTGGGCACACCATCTCACTCTGATGCCCCTTCAACTTTGGCAAAAAAAACCTCTAAGGGACACAGACCCAAGCATTTGACATTGAAAACTTCAACATCAAAGTCCTCCACAAAACAAAAGCTGTATCCCAAGATCTCCTTGGCTCCAGATCCTCCTCAACCAAAACAAAAACTCCTGTGATCGCTCTGCAACAGGTCTCCAAATCTGGCAATTTGATTTGTGTTGGCTTACCTTCTGACAATGAAGGAATCCCATCCCACCAACTGACTTCTCAGTTGCCGGAATGGGACGAGCGAGTAGATCAGCTTACTTCGATGCCTACTAGTCCCCAACAGTCTCTCTCCTAGTGACTCATCCATGGACGCTTCATTGAAGAGAGCGGAATTCGAGTCTCAGCCTGACACTGTACCCTATCCTGTACCAGCTGGCCTGCCACCATCGCCACCGGTGCGCTACCATGCACATCAGGCTTATGAGGCAATTCCGCCAGTGCGAGCAGGCCAAAGCCGTGCTCAGCACTCTCATCGGGTAGCCATTTGCCCCGATCAGTGCTCCACTAACCAATCTACCAGATGTTCTCAACCGGTTGTTTTGTCCGATCCCACAGTAGTATTGCACCAGAAACCGCCATCTTGACAGCCTTCGGTGTCGAAACAAGCTTACCAACCAGATACACATGGTCATCAGACAGCTGTCTACCAACCGCCTCAAAAACTCAAGGCAGTTGAGAAACATGCTACCAGTCATGAAGCATTTGCAGCCCCTGCCAGCCGATACTTTAGAGCTCAAAATGATGGAGACCGTTCCTCCCGCTAGGCATCCCCAGCCTCAATCTGTTCAACAATCCTGTCAAGATACCCTTCGGATTGGCTATAGCTGCCTTTTTGACATCACAGAGATACTGGTTCCGATATCGATAACTCTCTATGTCCATCCTGGTCCGTGGACACTCCAATTCACTCTTTCCTGATCGCTGACTCTCAGCAGCGACACCAACGTAAACATGTAGTCCGTCAATACCAAGATGTCGACTATAGACACCGAGGTTCCAGGATTTTTACCTCTGCCCATGGACACACCACTGACATCGATGGCAGTCGGCGATTCTTGACGTCAGTGGATGTCCATGGACATGCCACTTTCTTCAATAGCAGGCCACTGAGGACTCTATTATGATTCACAACCTCTCGACACTGAAGTCGATCATCACTCTATCAATTCCAGACCCAACCCCAAAATCTTGGAACATGGATCCCGGCCACAAACTTCATCAGTGCTTCTCACATCACCAGATTCTGACCTAGAAGATGTAGATCCCCCATCGCCAGCAGAAGATTTTCAAATATATGCTCAACTCATGGTGTGCATGGCTAAGTCTAGATCTACAAATCCATCACCCCACAACTGAACCAGCGGATCACCTTTATGATCCTATTTCCCAAGGCACAACTACTCCAGTCGATATTTCCATGCTATCATCCCTTCTCAGCACTGCTCAGTGGTCTTGGACTAAGCCAGCCTCCTGTCATTTCAAACGAATCAGTTACCGTATACATGACCCAGGAGCGCTTTTTCTTCAAAAACAACTGGCCCTGCATTTGATATTTGTTGAAGCCTCACAGTCTCAATCTCGACATTGACAAACCCTTATCCCACCCAACAAAGACAGTTGGAGAATCAACTCTATGGGCAGATGGCTTTACTCCTCAGCAGCTTTCACGATGAGAGTAGCAAACTATCAAGGAACTATGGGAGTGTATCAAGGAATTTTGGGATAATATGGCCACTTTTCTTGATTCCTTGCCAGAGGATAAAAAAGTACTAGTACAAACCATCCAACAGGAGGGCCTCTCTGTTGCTAAACAACTAATGTTTTCAGCCAAACACACTGTAGATGCAACGGCTAAATCCATGGCTACCTCTGTAGCATTGAGACGTTTTTCCTGGCTACGAACAGCTGGCCTTGCCAAAGATGCCCGGGCATGCATTGAAGACTTCCATTTTGACAGGACTGGCTTTTTTAATGCTGAAATGGACAACATCCTAGAAAATGTCCAGAGGAAACGCTCGGCTGCCAAACGATGGGGCATCTATCCTACCTACCAACAATGCCCCCAACGTAACCAATGGAAATGACATTACAATTCTTACCAGAGGTTCCAACATAAACCCCAATGTCAGGCACCAAGGTACTATATGGAGGGGGATGGTCTATTCTAATGTGGGTTTTTTGCTACCGCAGAAGCTCTAGAATATTCTGACAAGGCTCCATGCAGGTGCGGATCACCCAGGGTGTGAATCACAGAGGTCCACTCAAAGAACTACAATTACAGGTGAGTAAACTGTTCTGATATATAAAATTTTCTATAATAATTGCTGTATTTTATATTTTGACCAAATACAGTTTCAAATGCTTTTTTAAAAATGATGAATATATAAATACATAAGATTTGACACTGTCAATATCATGAATGGTAGGGAAATCCAGGGAAATCTATGGAAAATATCTCTATACAAGTCAGCCCCAAGGATCTTCAAGAGAAATTTAACTTTGCTTGTATTGTACATGACTCCACGCTACATATATGCACTCCAGAGACAGTAATTTTCCAATGCTAAAATCAATTTACTCCATGTGCACAGACGGCTCCACACACATGGCCAAATAAAAACAAACAGCTAGAGGTGGATCACATAGGAATATGACAAATTTCACAGTATTGAATATTAGTCAGATTTTGTGGTTGCAAATATTCTTTTATCTGGGAGATTCTAATCTTGTTACAGAAAATGAAAATTGCAGGTCATGGTAGCCATGTTTTCCATTTTTTGTTTATACTGACAATGCAAAATATTTGTAGGTAATGGACTGAAAACCATACAGAATTTATGTATGTGTACAGCTTGCATGACTGAGTTTTGAGATGTATTCCCAGTAGAATTTTCCACATGTGAGTTGCCACCAACAGTTGTGTAGTAAAATAATGTTCAATGCTGCACTTCTTATTAAATTTTACACTTTCACAATCTCTGAGTTATACAAATAAATGCTTATAACAATTAAGAAATCTTCTGATATTGTCTTTAGATTTGTGGTGAATTAGCATTTTTTGCTTCCTTGTGCTTTTTCACCATTTTCACCAGTATGTCATTTTATAACATTTATTCTGGCAGAATATAAAACTTTTAATTTCATAATTCTAGAAGCCAGTTCTTTTATATCCTGGACTAAAAATCCCTTCTATCCTTTACTTTTTTTCTGAATTGCTTCTATTTATTTATCAATGTCAAAATCAGCATTATTTAGCTGCATACCTTAAAAAAAAACATAGTTCTGGAGAGAGGAAAGGCATATCTGTGGGAAAAATAGTACAGAGACATTTCTGTACATACTGTATATTCCTATTCAAATATTATTTTTGGTAACTTAAATTTTCGGTTGATATTTCATGTATGTTCAAAGTACAGAGTTCACTCCAAAGCATCAATAGAACTTGATTGCAGTTTTGAGAGATGCAAATTTTATGTTTATGTAAATAACACTGAGGCCCAGAATAAGACATTTGGCCAGTCAAATTGTAATAAGAACTTTGTTTTCTTTTAATAAGAAAATAGTGAGGGCCAAACTGTGGCTGAAATACTATTGTACTTGGTATAACATAAAGTTATAATTGAAGACGTTCATAGGATTTTTACAACCAGACAGTCCACATGTCTGATTGCACAATGAATTGCACAACTAATTTGTTAGGGTTCATCAGTGTCTGAGTGTATCTTCAATCTTCTCTTAGGAGCAATTAAAGACAGTTTCTTCTTCGTGGTCTCTGTGAATGCACACTAAGGGGTTAATCTGTGCCTGCGCACAGCAGCCTTGGAACTTTCCAGAGCTTGAGCACATGGTGCCAGGACATCCCACATGCTGGCTATAACCCTGGCACCGAGTGCCTCAGTTCCTTTCTTACTGCCGCCGCTGCAGCAGCTTCTCAATTGGAACTTTCGCGTACTATCTATCCTTACCTTCTACTGTTCAGACCTCCTTGGCTTTGTTTTGGACTATTGATTACTCTTCTTTGTCTCTGTGAGTTTATCTAAGGAAAGAAAAAAACCCGGACTGTTAGTTGAGTTTATTGGGTGGTTGAGTTTATGGCCGCACCAGGCCTCTTCAAGAGGTATAAAATCTGTTCGAATAAAATCCCCCTCTCTGATTTACACTTGCGGTGCTTATTTTGTTTGGTGGAAGAACACCAACTGGCTCTTTGTATGGTCTGTAAGGGCTTTACCAAGCCAGCCCTGAAGTTGCGGCTTCAACACCTCCATTAATTTCTTTGGGGAAAATCC